TTTCGTAATCTTGATTTGTTTCGAGAAAGAGAATTTAGGACGTCTGCTTGCGTATCTCCGGCCGGTGCACGACTTTCTGCTGCAGCTGGTTTTGTGGCTTTATGAAGTTTTAAGGAAATCACACTTTTGATTGCAAAGCAAGAGATAGTGTCCAAAATATGTTACAATTATTATGATGTGCATTAAAAGACTAAATCGAAAAATCATAATATAGAAAGTTATATTATAGCGGTGTTGGCTAAGATAGATTTTGCACACATCAAGCATATGGTTTTAATAAGGGATCCTGTAAATTGACAATTGGCGAACAGGCGATTTCAACCAGCGAATTGTTTGGTTTTTTAGAGGACATAGGATACTTGGCACTGCATTTTTTTATGTTCGGGTCGGTTATATAGCATCAAAGGCGCTCAGTACAAAAGCTCTCTTATAACTATTTTATGATGGCTCGACGAAATGAGCGTGTTTTTGCTATCTTTAGTTTATGTGTTACTAATATATGTACAGCAGTCCAAATATTTTGACAGAGGAGGCAATGAAAAATTTAACTTAACTAATTGAAAAGATCTGACCAATTTGCAAAATGTAATTTTTAAACTTCTTTAACTTCAATGCCAATGATTTTACGTAAAAAACAAGGGCTTTTATAAAATTGGTGCAATTTTCATTTATTTCTGATTCTTGCAACGTTCGGTACTTCGAAGCCCAAATATCGTAAATTAAAAAATATACCACAAGTGGAATTCATATTGTGTTTAAATTAAAATCTCTGAGAATTTCTAACCGGTTCTAACCATTTTGATGCCTGGTTTTTTGGCAGTTGATATACTAAACACCTGCCTAGATATCAGTAATCCAGCCTTGAGTTATCTGACGGATATGATCATACTGTTCATAAACCTAGTAAAACTATTGAATTATATTTGTTTTTGAGAACACTGTAACTACAGGATTAATGCAGTCGAAGTTGTTGAGCGTCTCATAGAAAAGACTTGCATAATTTTAAATTTATTTCTGATAGCTGGTATTAACTCCGAATTATATGCTTCAATAATTGTAGTCAAATCAAATAGTTAAAAGCTCAACAGTATGCTTTAGTAATTAAAAAAAAAACAATATCTTTTTAATAGTGAAACGTAATGCTCTGTAAGTATTACCGACTTAGAGAAGCTTTTCAAAAAAGTATTTTTGAGTAAAGCACTTAAAGTGTTCATCTATAATTTGTTTATATAATATACAACATATGTAAGTACATGTAATTGCTTTAAACTCATGATTCTGACAACACAATCGAAATTTTGCTACCCCATTGGTAACCAATATTCTATTAGTAACTTCTCAAATTACAATAATCCCCCCTTTAAGGTGTTATATTTTTTTGATTGAAGAAAATATTTTTTATTTCTTTTTATTACGTAATGAAGGCTTTCTTCTGACAAGTAAGCGGAAATGGTCGTAAATTTCGAATATTGCAATAATGTTGCAAAATCTACTTTGAAAAGTGTAAATGGAAAGTAAAAAATCTGTGTTTTGTCTAAAGTGCAACACACTTTGGCATTGGCGCGAAATTCGATACATTACCTATAATTGTTACATGTGGAATGCGCGTTGAATTTCACCCAATAAAAAATTAGAAGGAGAAAACCAAAAATGAGGTGAAAGTGCAAGAAAAGAGTTCAACAAGCGCGATCGGAAAAGGAGGCTGATTTGGTGTAAAAGATTTTTTTTGCGGAAAGGAAATGAAAATTGCGCAAAAGGGGTTGCGAGGAGCAGCGTAGGTAGCGAAAAATTAAATTAATAATCCGCGACCTCTTTTCACTAACATGTTCTTCAAGATTACTTGAATGGCATGGGTTTAAATGTATGGACATGAGTGTGTGCATGCATTGCAGTGGAAAAGGGTTTTCCACTCATGCAAAATAAAATTGCATACTTTTGCATGTGGCAACTTTTCGCAACCCTTTTCCGGTTCATTCTTTCACCCCTTTACGAACGCCTTATGTTGTTGCTTTGCTTTCTAGCCAAAAATCTTGATTGAAAATCTTTGTAATGCAAAAAAAATTCTGCATCACAATTGCTGGGAATTTTTTTTCATGTAACGGTATGCGATTTTTTTTTGTTGTTTTATTAGTTTACCGGTTTTGGTTTTGCGTTTGCGGAAAATTCATTAAGTTTGGCATTTTAATATGCATCACTGGGCATTATTGCGCCCGGATTCAGCACCTAAACGCTGGAGTTGTGATAAATGGTTTTGCATGCACACACACATACATATATCTATGTGTTTATTTATTAATGTTTTGGAATTTGCAATTTGTAGATTTGCTCGCGATATGCGATACTGCAAATTAAGTAGCCTGGGAAAGTGCAGCCAAAGGTGCTTCATTACGATAATGTAATGAATATTTTTTGACACTAAAGTTACGGTATATACATAAATACATATAGTAATTAAAGGGTATATACCGTGTACATATAAAGTTCGGAATTTTAGCATGATAATAACTGAGCACAACAATTTTCGAACAAAAACTCAACATCCCGGCTTTAAAATCCATATAAAATCTATTTTGTATATTCGAAGGGACTCAGCGGAACCGAAACAAAAAAGTTTATTTTTAAAGTCTTTTTTCATTTCTAGCAAAATCTTAACTCAGTAATCAATTTTCGAAAACATTGTTGCAGTGTATTTAGTTTAAATTTTTTCTTTGTTATTGCTATTATTTTAGGATTCCTGACTTCGAAAATTCGACAGCATATACTTTTGTATGTTATACCCTTAAATCAACTTCGGTTCAGTCCCGGGGTTTGTTCAAAATCGGGGCATGGCAATGTAAATTTATGAGATCATGATCTCTTTGAACACATTTTTATGGTGAGTGGAATAGGGAAGCTCATTGCTTGACAGTTTTCTTTATGTATACTTGTTTCAAGTTTTTTACACGCTTCATTAACTCTCAATTCGGGTTCCTAAATCGCACTTAAGCAATCCAATCAATATTCAAGTTACGATAGCACAATATTGCGAGCATAGGTGTGTTTCCCAGCTACTTTAATATTATTCAATCTAACATAATCTAAAGTTTGGTTTGAACTTGCTACAAGCAATTCACAAATAACACAATCCGACAAGGGAGACAACCAATCAAATATGTAACGAGTTTAAATCCAGCTAACCTTAATGATAGTCTTTATGATAGTGGTCCTGATGTAGGTGTACTCTGAAGGCAATGGCAAAGCTCCAAGGCATTTTCTACCATTTATAAGGTTTTAAAAAATTCATTTTATATTCGCAAAATACTTCATATTTTTAAGATGCCGAACTTCTTGTGTACATGTATTTTTGTTGTTTTATGATGAATTGAATCATTTGTTGGATGGAGGAAATTTTATAACTTGAACAAAGTATATTAAGTTTGCCACAAAGCTTGTAACTCCTAGAAGAACACGTTGGAGACTCTTATAGTCCATCAGTTTATGAGTTATTGATCTGAAATTTTGCAACACAAGAAGCTGCACATTTGTCGTAACCGAATGCAAATCAACGCTATAATCTCCGATTCAATTTTTGAGATCGGACAATTGCAGCATATAGCTTATATACAAACTGACCGATCAACATTTAATTTTTGTAAGGAATCTTTTATATTTGTGTAGGATATTATTGCTTCAGTGTAACCGCAGTTAGAGTTTTTTCTTGTTTTAGATTAACATTGTAGATGAAGAAATTTTTTTTAAAATATTAATTTTGGATTCAAATATGACAAGTGTTAATTTATTCTCTTAAAATATAAAACGAACCTACAATTTTTTACTATACTAACCACAGACCAACTAACTATAGTTACGCAACAATGTGACTCTTTTGCAACATTCTCGAATTCGGTAGCTTTCGGTACAAACTATGTGCTTCGGAAGTTCTTCGCCATATACCATAAATATGCAAATTCGCATCAAACATTCACAACTGCTGTAACTGAGTACGGTAAACGTTAACTGAAAACTCTCAACTGTCACAGACGCCGGCACAATGGCCATTGTATTTCGCTATTTTTATGCTGATTTGTGGCATTATTGCAATTTTGTTCCAAATTCAAATGCAAATAGAAAATGTTAACTGTAGTGATGGTTTTTTTTGCCCCTATGAAATCAATACTTACTCCAGTTCGGTGACGTGAACTAAAGGTGAAAGTGACTCCGAGTATAAATTGACATTCGCTGCATACCAACAATAGCAACTGCCGAGCTTGATGCGTCTGCTTGCCTTGTAACTCAATTAGTAGGACAATTGAAAAACCCCACTTCAAATTTGTTTCATTCGAAACAGTATCTATATACACATATATATATATAAGTATATATGCCGCTATATTTGACAGAAATACGTTTGCGGTAAAAGAAGAAGTCCTACGGCAGGAGAAGTGAAAGCACAAGTAGTTGATGAAGGAGAAAAACATACGTACATTTGAAAGAAAAATCAATGAAATCAATGTAGAAGTCATATCGAACTGTAGGCCAACGAATTGATATAATTTCGTGAATTTGCATAAATTAGCATAAACTGCGCGCACTGCACTTACACACGCACGCACATGCAATTCTTCGCTTCAGCTTAGAGCGGCGCAGCAGCCCTTTTGCCGATGCTGTGCGCATGCGCTTTGTGCGGCAGGTCTCATTTGCATAACACTGTGCGCGTTGGCATGAAAGTGGTGCATAGTTTTCGGCTGTTGCTATATTGATGGTTGCGCCGTTCGTAAGGTGACTGCGGTGGGGTGGTTAAGGTTGCTCGCCAAAAATTATGTTAATTAGTAAGGTTTTAAAATCTTTGGAAAAACGAAATTGTGAAATTTTCTGTGGTAACTGTACTATACACTGAATGCGGATTCGCCATGGCTTTGCTAATTTTTTTATTTACGGGGAATGCAAAAGTCTGATTTATTGAATTCGATTTCAATTGTTAGGCGTTTTTTACATATATACTTTTTTTTACAATTCTTTAGACATACATACATTGCCATGGAACCTATTATTAGAAATCTACTTGGAAGGATGGATTGAGTGCGTGAATATTAAAATCGAAAATCGAATAGCTGTGACTTCTGAGGTTGTAATGTTCCATCCACCATCAAATATATGAATTGAGCAAACTACCCATATGTAAGTATACACTGTTCCAAGAAGGCTTTGCAATCTACATTTGTGGAAGAGTAAACTTTTTCTTGGCTAAACTTGGTTTTAGACTTCAAAGATGGATCACTGGAAACAGTCACCGACGCAAAACCGTAGGCCAAATCAGCTGATACGACCTATCTTATGATAGCGCATCGTAATTGAATACTCACCACCGCTTCTACAGACCGTACGGTAGGATATCCGCAAATATTAAATTTTTAAGGTAGAAACGAGTAAGCTGATTTCTCTCTTGCAACGAAGGGTTGCCAGTCTCGATATTTTGTAATAATTGAAAAAAAAACTTGAATATACATATTTGAAATATTCTTAAAATAACACAAAATTTGTGTCGTATACATTTATTTATAAATAGGTAGACTATTTTAAATAATGCGAGTTTAGTTTTGGTGTTTTACATAATAAAAAATTATAAGTTAAAAGCTAGATGCATTCAAAACGATAGATACATATTGAGAAATGACAACATTGTTCAAATGAAAACAAAAAAGAACAACTAATTCTACGTTTTCACTACGGGCATAACTTTTGACAAACATTGTTTAATACGGGCGGTAAGTACGGAAGGGCGGAACGTCGTTGACTGTTTCTAGCATAAAGCGAGACGTTTATTGTATTACCATGAAAGCGAAAATTATTTGAAACTTAAAATTAATCCAGAAATTTATTTCCTAACATAATACCAAGAGAAAAAAAACATTAAAAAGTTTAGATATAAAGCTTGTAATAAAATATTTAATTTAATTTAAGTCGTTTAAGTTTTATTTTCTTACCTTTTGTCGCTTGATTTTTTATGGTATTCTTTTTCTTTCTTCTTCAATTTCACCAAATTTATTTCACGAAATATTCAATAACTCGATTCAATAATTAATCATATTTCTAAACAAAAATCCATTAGACTCCAAGCATTTGGTTGTATCCCTACAGTGTCTATCAGCTTACAAATCAACCCTCCCTATGATTGATGATAATCCTGCCAACGCGAATCTGCGTAAACTTCGGCAGCTACTTGCACATTTACGCAAAATGATCTACCGAATTAAGAATTCTCGAATTTCATATTTTTTCGTTTTATTTTTGTCATTAAACATCACATTTTCTCACGCGCTTTTTAGGTGATTTTCAAGCCTTTTTCTTCCATGCACATCCGTATATTTTCTTAACTAATGACAATATTAAAATTAATGATGCCCTGCAGTGATATTAGATACTCGTCGCAACACCCCTTTTTTCTCTATACCTCCTCGTCCCTCTATTACATCATGTCATACGAATATATGTCTTGCAAATTTCCTTTATGTGTCTTTCGACGTTTTTAATTCCACTGTAGATTTCTTCGAGCGAATGTCATTGCCTTTTGCACAAAAGGTTACGTGCGCTGCCGATGTCTTGAACTCGCGTTTCGCAGCCTTGCGCATATAATCCTTTAGCTGTTTGTATGTGTTGTTGCATTCACTTTTTTTGCAGCAAGCTAGCGATCTTTGTCGAAATTTTGGGCGACCTCCTTGCCGATAATTAATTTCATTTTATCTTTTTGTCGAATTCTTTTTTTTCGGTATATTTTGAAACATTTTCTTGTTGCATTCACCAAAAGGGCTAGGGACGGGTTGATGATCAGTAGACGCTGTTGTCTTGCATGTTGAAAGCATCTTAGGTTTGGACACTTGGGCACACGGTTATTCGCAAGCAACCCTTAACCGAAATATTGTCAGCGAGAAAGGAAATTTTTTATTAAAATTTTGTAGTGAAATTTTCTAAATTTAATTCATGAAAATAAAAATTAAAATTAGTAGATGCCTATGAGTCTGATTTACGACGCTTGATTTTTCGGAAATATATTTTTTAACTCAAAATAATTTAAAGCTTACGTTTCTTGAAATCCTCTTCACTATTTAACTTTACAATTATTAATTAAATAACTCATTTGGCATGAAACGTAATATGAACTACATTAACTATTTGGAGATATCTTTAGGATTTCTCAGTTCTTAGCCTTCTTATATTCCGAAACCGCTAAAACCGATTGTGGCGAAATTTTGTAGGGTATCTTTATAAAAGATAGAATCCTTTACAGTTTTGAGATTTTCGAAAGAGTTGCCACCTATCCCAAAAATAAAATTTACTTGAATTTATAAATCGATCAAAATATGGAAGGTATTTGAAAAATATATCAAAGAACCCTTGGATACCAATTTTTTCAACTGGAGTTGACACCAGTACAAAAATAAAATTAACCGTACAAAATGGATAGGCATGAATTATTAAACACTTTTTTAAGAAATGCAAATTTCGCGAAAATTTTTGAACAAGCCGCGTATATCAACTTTTTACTAAAAAAGTTTTGGAATAGAGTTTTCTTAATAGATGAATAGAGTTTTCTGAACAGATAAAAACTCTATTGCAAAACTAAAAAATAATAATTTAAAAATATTAAAAAATGGTGACATATTTTTATAACACAACAAACAAAAAAAAAAACCTGTAAAAAGTACGAACAGTATACGTTTGTGATGTTTTTTTTCGGCAAAAATATTAAAACATTTCTAAATCTAAATAATCGGGATTATAGTAGTTAATAACTTGTTAGCAGTTAATTAGACGTTTAGTAAACTTTTTCAAAAATTTTTTGAATTTAATGTTTAGTAAAGTTTTCTTATTGCAATTTTAATTTTATTATTTTATAAAATAAATTTTTGTGTTCTTTAATTTCACAGCAAATTCGACAATTTCAAAAATACATTAATATAAATTTTCCTAGGGAATATTGTTGTACATACATAATAAATATACATAAATAAATATATAATATATAAATATGTATTTATACTCCAAAAATGACGTTGAGTAAATTAAAATTTGAAATTTTGGTAGCATATTTTTTAACATGCTTACATCAAGCTTGCACTTTACTTACAGCAGTACACTATTAGTTCATATTAAACTAAATACTCTCCTTTATGTACGTACTACATAATCGCTTTACTCTCTAATTCGCTTTATTCTCTAGTTTTCGGCAAGTCAACATCTGAAATGAAATATTTTCTCACGTTGCTGCCACTTCGAAATATTGGCAGTGCTATCGATTAATCATCTTCGCCAACCTCTGTCAACACATCTTCGATTGGGGCGCCGCTGCGCAACGTCATTACGCCAATCGATCGGCAGCCACTCACTTGAATACTTTCTTTAACGTCAGCTATCACTATGAAGAAATTCCTTACAAAATTAATGATATTCGACACAAATAATGCTGAACTTTCACGGCATTTACTTGGCGAAAGATCCAATAATTGCTCAAATAAAAAATTGCAGTAACTTTAAAAAATCTTAAACGCTCATAAATCATTGCGGAGCGAAAGGTAATGCGCCGACTGTCACAAAACGACGACGAATGCACAAAATAATTATAAACAATGCAGAGAAAATACGTTACGAAGCGCAATAATCCAAAAGTACGAAAAGTAAGCTGACGCCATTTTTGTTAGCACATGATAAAGAACGACGCCCCGGGTGGGTAGGTGTGTGCCATGGACGAGTTTGTACACGAAAGCATGAAAGGACCTGAGACCTAATTTGCATAATTTTCGCACGCAACTATTATTTGATCGTGTTTCGTCGAAGTGTTTTACGATGTGACGCCTGTCGAATTTAATGTACATACATACATACATACTACTACTTACGTACAAACATATGCAAAGAGCTGCTCGCATTGCGGTGAGCGGCATTGCTTTGAAAATGGCACATTTTTGACTTGTGCCACTGTTATGCTAATTCAGTTTATCGATGATTTGCATATACATATGTATATTTATATGTTTGTATGCCTATATGAATGTTATTGTATTTGCGTATCCGAGTGTTTGCGCATGCGCCGCAGTCAATGCACTATTTCCGGTGCTACCACTTGCATGCACACGCATTTATGGCCGCTTTGGCGGCTTGCGTGTATGCAAATGCAGTTGCACTTATTTATTTGTATGCAAATAATTTCGATAAGCCCATGTAGTATTAGTGCAGCACCCTTTTCTTTAATTGATTTAATTACGTATTTCCACTTTCTTACTCTTCGGGGCATCTTTAGAGTGCGAAAATCTTTATATGTATGTATATGTGTTTGTAATGCCTGGTAATTCGATTTATTTCTGTTTTGATCAGCATAAATGACTTGCTGATAATTAAAATATGAAAACATGCAATGAAATTTTGAAATATTGAATTTTAATTCTTCTATGGGAATATTTCTGTCAATAAGAATGCTGGGAAATGAATATGGTATAATATTATTAAGCGGACAGTTTTTTCTGAAAATGAAAATATGATAGAAGTTGAAGTTGAAAGCATGATGAAAGTTTAAGAACTCCAGCGTTTTGAGCCTCCGACTATTTTGACCCTTAACTTCAAAACGTTTTTAAAAATGCTTTTTTAAACATTTATTGCTCATCAGTATGAGTTATTTGAAAAAAAAATCACTTTTACAATCTATAAGGAGTTAAAAAAAAGATCTTTGCAAAATCACTCGTTATATCCCATTAAAAAAAATTTTGAAATTCATCAGTGCATTTTCGAATTTTCAAATAATAAAAAAGGTAAATGTTAATATTATAAAAATATATATATTATATTTTAAGAACCCAAAGCTAATGACAAACCAAAATTTTGTGGCTCAAATAGCCATTATTACTTTCACACCTATGTATATAAATAATCATGCGTGCAGTGTCTTACAATTGACTCCCTTTAAATTGCTCTTTGTATAACCCTTATGCATTTCGTAATGATCTCTGCTTTCAAGATGACCCTTCTAATTGCTTGAAACTGACCATCACTTAAGATCAACGTTTTTTAATGCATAATTGGCGCGTGTTGGTCAAGCGAGAAACTAGTTTTCAAATTAAAATAACATAAGTGAGTTTTAACATTTTTATGGAGGTCATTTGCATGGTCAGCTGATTTGAGCGATGGTCAGTTTAAAAAGGGTGCAGTCAACGCGTGTCATGTGCGCAATTAATTAAGATGCTGAAAACGTAATGATAGGCAAATTAAATAAACAATTTAGATAAAGATTGAAAACTGGAAGTAAAGATCTCTCGCTAGGAATGAAAATTACTACACACATACGACTCGTGTGCAGTTTCTCCTTTCTGTAGTTTTAATTGGTATATTAATAATAATATATAATTCTTAAATTCCTGCAGAATTCAGTGTCTAATGCCTGGTGGTATCATACAATAAAATAATTAGAACAAGATTGTA